TTAATTATATCTGTTTATTTAATAATATATAAAAATTATATACAATTAATACATGTGCAGCCATCTTTAAAAATAAAGGCAAAAAAATATTAAAATTCTCAAAAAAAAAAAGGTTTGAATTCCCAAAAAAAATGCAGTAGGCTTCTTGGAGAAGCTTGAGAAAGTTAACGGAAAGATAATGGAGAAATGGACGGAAGTGACGGAGGTAACAGCCCAACAAACGAAAAGTTACAAAAAGGGGCTATTTTCTTCCATTCTTATAGGTTAGGGCTAAAACCGTTATATTATAAGGTGAGGGGCCAAAACCGTCCAACTTATCAAGGTAAGGGGCTATTCTTAGGCTTTTGCCCCCGAAAAATAGGAAAAAGGATGTCACAAAGTTGGAACACGTAACTAGTGACTGTAGCAAGTAAGCCGGAACGTGGGGATCATAAGTGAGGCATTCTGAAAAAAAAACAAAGAGAGGGTAAATACTAAATAGAGTAATAGAGGGATTAGGGAAAACTAATCTAAAATTGCATGTGCAGATTTGACTTAGAATATCTATAGGGCATTTCAACAACCAGCTAATGGGCACCAAAATAAGACAATAGGCGGAAGCTGTTGTACCATTCGATCAAGTATTGATAATTAGTAAAATTCAATCAAGTGATCACAAGATTAAAGAATCAACAGATAAATAATGAGTAGAGATTAAAGATAAATAACTCCATTAAGGGAAAAGTAAAATCAAAGCCATATCTATAGGAACAGCTGATGGGAACCAAAGAGGAAAAGAAAATCAATGCCACCAGTGATCAACAAAATAATGCATTCGGAGGTCCCACTTTTTTGGAGGTATTCGTTCCCAGTCACATGGGAGAACAGAATAAAATCAATTCATGATCTTGCATAGAAGAATGTGTTTTTGAAAGTAACTAATCGGAGTTAGTGGCTTGTATGAATGGTCTATAGTGGGGAACACTAGAATTGACAGATTAATCTCTAAAAATACGTGCAGTCTTGACAACACATGAAGTTTGATTTTTGGCAAAACCATAAGTTAAGCCCCTGAACCAACCCCAGAATCGCTATTAAGCCCCTAGACTGTAATTGATGCATATAAGCCCTTGAACTCGGGGATCAAAGCAATTAAGCCCTTC